ATTGTGATTTTAACAGTAAAAGACTGTAAAAATGCTACTGTAAAAACCTGTTAATTGGTTATCAGTAAGTTTCCATACTATATACGGTGAATAACTGTAATTACATTTAATGTAATTTTACAGTAAAATACTGTTAAAATTACAGTTTTTGGAAGTGAAAACGAAAAAGTCATTGTATAATTTACAGTGAAAAACCGTAAATTGACACTCCCAGAATTCCCTGCATGACACTTCATATTTTATGTTTTTTCGTTGAAATAACTGTTTCTTCTTAGTTTTTCCTTATCAGTTATGTACATTAGTGTTTTATCTTACATCTAATGTTGTTAAATTAATGTTTATTGCATTATTTCAGTATCATGTGTGTTACCATGTGCACCTTCTATGTATATATATATATATATATTTCCCTTCTCAGCTTTTGGAAGAGCTGATTGTGATGAGCTTTGATTCATCATGTGACTTTCTCATCACCACCAGTTTTTGGTGGTTATCATTGTGAATTTAAAATGTAAAACCTAAAATGTTTCTACCATATTTTTAACGGTGAAGTTCTAGCAACCACAGCTGCCGGTATTTTACCGTAAATGTCACATTTTATTTTTTACAGTGTACCCATACAACATAAAAATGTTGTGATTATAATATGATTTAAAGATTACAAAAACATTTCTTACAGCATTCTACTAACTTAATTTTTTTTAACCAAAAACATAACGTTATTTAAATGTTTCTTTTTAATATTCTAAAAAGGTTAAAATGTCCAGTTTTCTTGTTGTGATTACAATGTTATTTAAAGGTTACAAAAAACCCTAACGTTTCTTAAAATGTACAAAATAACATCACAACGACATTCAAAGAATGTTGTTCTAAGAAGATTATGACCATGTAAATCAAATATTAATTAAGTAACAAGAACGTTTCATTAACATTACTTAATATTACTTAATCATAACAAAAAAAATTGTCCTAACATTTATTTAACTTAAACATAAAAACATTAGTAAAAGTTGTGAGTGCATTCCCCGTTATTCCACGTAATTATTCATTGTAGGTCAAACTCCTTAAAAATCATTATCTCATATATTGGTAACAGTCAGACAAAACCGAAATTCTTCTGATTGTTTATTGTCATGAGGGTCTTTAGATCATGCGTACCAAATTACAGTTGAATTAGCCTAAAGCCCAAAGTATACTTCATAGCATACGCGTACAGTCGAACGCATATCCTTTTAAAGTGTACTCCAATGTAAAGAGTGCATGAACGCAGACGGTCGACACATGCGCTCTAGAAAGCATCATCTTCGTCAAGCATCTGCTATATTTTTCTCCAGAAGTTATGACCGATAAAAATGTCTTTGTACATTCGTTTTGTTTTCTACTGTAAAAACAACGGCCCGGGCCAGTGTTGCCACCTTGTGGAACAACTGATTAGTGCAAAAACAAGTCAATGCGTATGTACAACCTGCGGTTACAAAAGTCCGGTGGTGTACGTACTATTCTGATGATGAAATTCACGTCACGCGCAATGTACGCTGACCCTCGCGTACGCATAAAAAGTTACATTTACTTTGGGCTTAAGAGGAGTTAAAGAAAATTCAAAAGGGCAGACAAATGTCACAGAGGAAGCACTGTGTTCATGATCAACATGATCCAACAAGCCTGTACTAGTTTCTTTTCACCTCTCTGTCTTTGGGACTCTTGAACAGTCTGTCATTTGTCAGTAAAGCTCAGCATATTGGGCTTCAGACCTCAATTTGCCCAGAGGACACAGCAACACCCACTTTCTCCCACAACTCCCACCAAACAAGTTTGATCATTTGTGATACCTAATACACCACTCTCCTCTCTATGATATAATAACTCCCTGCACAAATCTGTGTTGTAGTTGTGGGTCAGTGGGTCAGCCTCATTTGTTGTTTTAGTTTTTCCTTCACACACTTATTCTGAATCTAACATTCCTCTACAGAACTTTGTCAGGTAGTGCTATATTTAATTCTTGACAAGATCATTCCAAACGAGGCTGTGAGGGACAGAAGTACTGTTTTTTTGTTTTACCATACTGATTATTCAGCTGACGAAACGTCTTTCTAAAGAAAGTTTCAAGAGACAAAAACTCCATAAACAGTTTTGAAAGTTGTGGGTTGTGAAAATGATATGATTTAGAATCTTTATATCATGCGTGCCATTGTAAAGACTGTAAGCCCCGTTCACACCAAGAACGATAACTATAAAGATAACGATAAAGATATAGTTCTAAAAATCGTTCTCCATATTAAAGAATAGCAGAGTCCACACCACAACTATAACGATAAAGACAAAGAGAAACGATATCGTTGGAATCACTTTCAAAAGATTTTTCTCCAGCTGATGAACGATAAAAAAATTGACAGCCAATCAGAATCCATCCTGCTATAACGAGCTC